GCAATAAGCTGTACGTTTTACGTCCAATGGATGATGATCTGATTAGTCGACTAATCGCAAAAATAATCGGTGACTAGTCGACTATCAAAATAATCCTTAGTGGCAGCCCTACATTGTAATAACCAAGAATATCAATAAAGTTCTGACTGAAAGGTTTGACCTAATCCGGTCCTGCATCACTGCTTTACTGACTAAAGAGCTAAAAGTGTAGAAAGTAAATCAGTGTTTTTCTAGTCTGTGGTAGGATGTAGGTTACTTCACATTTATCCTACTGAATAGGACAGATCACACCTGAACTCAGACTTGAATGAAGAAGCAACAGATGTTGTGTCGCTAACTTCCTGCTATCAGACAGTCTGCTGCTGTGACACAGGTGGTGTTCAGATCTACGTCTGCCATGGTTTACATCTTTATCCAGATGAGCTGTGAGATGTGGGACTTTGACGTCTATGGTAAGATGATGTTTTTGTTTTTAAGGCGAGCTCTTCATGCCGTGTCTAATCCCAGCCGTTTCTCTTAGGGGACCTCTACTTTGAAAAGGCTGTCAATGGTTTTCTGTCTGACCTTTTCACCAAGTGGAAGGTTTGTGCTTTTCTTTCTGTTTGTATCAGCACCCTGCTGTTTCCTCTGTGACCATATGAATGATTCTCACATGTTTAATCCAGGAGAAGAACTGCAGCCACGAGGTGACGGTTGTGCTGTTCTCACGCACGTTCTACAACGCCAAAACATTAGGTCAGTGTGAGCTGAGACAAATGTTTGGTCAGCCTTGTTGCACTGCTGGTTTGCAAACAGGAGATTTCTCTTTTTCCCGACTGCTTAAAGTAACTGCTCATGGCTCGTGCAGGCTGGTGTGGTGGGGACCCTCATTGTCTTGTTGTGTTTGTTTTTGTGTGTAAGCATGACACAAGAACATTTAGCTTTAACATGTGTGTTTGCTGGTCAACATAAATCTGTTTCTTCTTCAGAGGAGTTTCCAGAGATCCTCAGAGGCTCCATCAGAGAAGACCACGAGGGACGCTTCTATGAAGACTTCTACAGGTAAGCATCCCGACACCCGTGGATACCAGCAACAGAGCGGCCTGTGACTCTGATTCCAATCGTCAGGGTCGTAGCGCAGAACGAGAGACGGGATGAGTGGACGTCGATGTTGGTCACTATCAAGAAGCTCTTCATCCAGTACCCAGTGCTGGTCCGACTGAAAGAAGCAGGTAGTGATTGTGTCCTTCGCCCACTCGTAGATCTTTGCATTCGTTCCCATCCACAGTCTGAACCGTGTGCTCGCTCACAGATGCTTTTCCTGTCGGTTACAACTCCACCGCTGCCCAAGGCAACTACCTGGAAGCCATTAACCTGTCGTTCAATGGTAGGTGCTGCTGCAGCTTCCCTGTAATGTCTTACACGTTTTGTTGTCGTTTAAAGGCCCTGTGCA